TCTCATATCAATGCGGCTGGCACGTATCTCAAATAGGATGCTAGCAGGTAGAGACTTTGTAAGTAGATCACCAAGAATAACACATAATTTAGTTTGCAAGATCTTCACTTTCCCACTCTTCTGGAGCTCATGAGGGTAGAGAATTTAGGGAGCAATATGCTAGTGACATTGTTCTTAACTTTGAATTTGTACAACAGAAGTGGCAGTTTCATAATAAATAATTGTGGGGGTGATGACGATATTGAGTTCACATGACTTTTTGATGAGGTTAGTTGTCCATATGAGCCAATGGATTCAAGTGAGGATTCATATAAAGCAACTATCTTTGAGTGGTTAGTAGATTTGGCTACGAGGTTTTGCTTATATTACCCATGAGAAATTGTTGTCACACTATACATAAACACAAATGTAGTATGAGATATAGCATTATGGGGATCAGCATTTATGTACCCCATGATAGTTAAGTCTTGGTTCTTGTAGTAATAAGATCTAAGATCATGAATACCTAGAGGCATCTGAAGATAGTTTTGACGCCTAGAAAATGCCTACATGTTGGGACTGCACTATACATGGCTAGTAGTTAACCACAAACATAATGTGAGGCCGAGTGTAATTCCCAAGGTACATTACTTCTCACATAACTCTCATATATCAAACTTTGGGTCCCAGAACTTCCTCATTCTCATTTCGAGGTTTGAACGGGACTTTATCCACATCATGGGATCTCACAACCATTGCGGTTCTAAGAGGGTGACATTTATTCATATTAAATCTTTGAAGAATCATGTGTATATATGCATATTGGTGAACTAGAACTCCTTCCAGAAAGTCCTCAAGCTGTAGCCTAAGCAAAGTATCTATTTACCTCAATGCTTTCATCTCAAGCTCCATCATAAGGTACGAACTAAATTCTTCTATGCCATTTGTATTGCTGGTTGTATTCAGATAATCATCATCCTTTTTTTAGGAAACGGGGATATCCCTTGGCCTCTTCATCATTGCGATGCCCACAACTGTATATTTATTAAAATCCAAGTAAGAAGCTCCAATAGTGCAGTACAAAATTGCCAAACAAATAAAAATAAAGCCACAACCGGCAAAAATAGGGATATATGCCTAGACACATAGCCTACTACTGGGCCGCCATCCAAACTGGTTGTACATATCTCGTTCTACTGTCTCCCATTGGTTGCACCCATATATCATAAGCTCATGCACTTCTGCATGGTGTAGTAACAACCACGTATGGGTCCATTATGTACTAGAAAATGCAATCGAAAACATATGAGCTATTATTTGTTGGTACACGATGAAACTTTATGATCCATTTTTGAAAAAAAGAAAATAAGGCAACGCCACATTATATAGCACTCTGTAACAAACCAAGCTTTGTCCAAAACCAAAATGGTAGCACAAATCTCAAAGCAGCAGTGGACGATGGAGCAGTGCATGGGATATCCCTTGCATGGTAGAAAAAACACTTACAATACACACTGAATAGAAATAAGAAAAGAGCTGATAATACTATATAAAATCTGAGACAATTGGGCTTTTTTAAACATACCTATATGATATAAAATCCATTAGGAAAATTCTTAATAAATATGCAAGACTCTTTTCATGATAGCATGTCTTATTGAAAGTTGAACATAGACTTGGCACATGGTGGGAGGTGTCTGGTTGGTCGGAGAACGAATTGCAACGGGTAAGCACACCAGCACATATATAGATGAAAAAGCAAGAATGAACAAGTAGCTCGACGATGACTTCCCCTGCCCCTTTATATAGAGGAGGGTAACTGTTTATATTGCATTCATTCGACTAACGAGTCATCCCCTGGTTCATCTGCGGCGCCATGGTCTTCCCCATCTTCTCCATGTTGGCGTGCCACCCTGCGTGCATGTCGAAGCCACGACGCTTAAGCTCGCGGTACTCCTAGCAGAGGGCGCGGTAC